ATTGCGGGCCCGGCGCGCACGTGCTGCCCGCGTGGGGCGGGACACGGGGGGGACGGGGGGGACACGGGGGTGACGGTGGGGCGGGGATGGGGCCGGTGCCGCCGTGACTCAGCCGTGACTAAGCAGCTCCCGGTGCCCCCGCACCCCACGCCCCCCTCCCCCCGGCGTGGGTGCCGGGGCCGGGATAGGCCCGGTGACCTCCCCACACACCGCCCCGGGGCTCGGTGCCGCCCTCAGCGCACCGCACGCTCCCCAGGGGTCCCCGATGACGTCCAGGCGGTGATGGAGCGTCGAGGGTCTCCCCAGAGGTGCCCCCCAGCCGAAGCCGGAGGGGGTCACACACTGCTCCCGTGGGGGCTCAGAGCTTTCTCAGCTCGGTGCCAGCCCGTGCCGGGCTCCCCCCGCCTTTGTCCTCGCCGATTTGGGGCACATGACTGTTAATCTGCGTAGGCAGCTGCCAGTGCCCAGCACCCGCTGCCAGGGCACCCCCGGCACCCCCCAGCTCCGGGCACTCCAGCACCTCCTGAGCCCCCCACCAGCTCCGGATGCTCCAGCACCCACTGCTCGAGCGCAGCACCCCCAGCATCCCATAGCTCTAGTCCCTCTGGCTCCAGCACCCACAACCTGCGGCTGTTCTAGGGATGCTTCTGGGGCTCCCCCCACGCTGCCACGAGGGAGGAAGCTGCAAAGTCCGTTTTCTCACTCTTCAACCCCAAAAACCATCTGGGGAACCCCCCTCTGCTCACCTCAGCCGGGCGCTGCCTCATCCTCCCCCCCAGTCCTGCCTGGAAGGTCGCTCCCAAGGACATCCGCAGTCCCGGGGACACGAGCGGCCCTTGGGACACCCCGGAGCGGGTGGGAGGTGTCCCCCATCCCAAATAAAGCCCCCTGGGAGCAGGAGGGAGCTGGGTGTCTGGTGGGATATGGCTGGAGCAGCTCTGGCATCGGGCACATCTGGAGCTGCTGGAAACTGGATTTGGGAAGTCGGGATATGGGTTTGATCCCCTTGGCTCTGGCTGGGACTGGAGCTTAACTGGGACATGCCTGGAATTCCAGGCTGGGAACAAGGCAAGGGCTCTCTGTGCCCGGAGGGGCATACAGATTATGGATTACAGGGTTTGGATCTCGGATCCTGGCTGGGCTGTGCCGGAGACTCCGGAAGGAAGGG